GGGGGGAGGGGAAACGGGGGGTGAGGTGGTTGGGTGCGGGGCGTGTAATCTTTTTTTGCCGCGCCTGGCCTGCTCTGGTGTTGGCTTTGGACGCCGCGTGACCCGATCCCGAGGGGGAAACGACTGTTAAAATTTGTGTCAGCCGGATTACGGATTACCCGGATTACCTCCGGAGTGTCTTCCGGATTACGTTGCTTTTTCTCCAGGATTACCCCGGATTACCCCAAAATTTTCCTGGATTACCCCAAAATTTGCCCGGATTACCCCGTTTTTTTTTAGAATTTTCTCGGATTACCCCTGCTGGATTACCTAACGGCTGTCAGCCGGATTACCTTAGTCGTTTCCCCCTCGCCCGATCCTGAGACTGACGGCAGCCCGCACGGGCAGAGGAGGGTACATATTACCGAGGCACAAAAGCCGGGGAGGAGGGTTGGTCGAGGACACCGTGAAGCCCACTGCTATGACCACCGGGGTCATAACGGTCAGTCACGAGAGGAAGTGAAAATCAATGGTATTGCTATCTATGTACCAGCGTGGCTGATTAACCCCGCGCACTCCTGTAGTTATACTCCACCGCACGCAGGAGTGCGGGCGGGGGGCGGGCTTGCCTATCTACTCTGACCAAGGCGCTGCAAGCGGACCGGGTGAGTAGGCAACCCGCCCGCGCGTAGAAATGCGGTACAGCATAACTACAGAAGTGCGCGTTATGGTTGTATCAGCCACCTGGTACTTCGTCTAAGAGTTTTGCGAGTTTAGAACGACGTCGACCTGCGCCTAAACTGAACGTACTCACTCGTACAAAAGCCATACGCTGGTAAAAATCACTTCCATCATCGTATGTTGATGTCCGTGTGTCCCCGCCCTGTCGTTGTGCTGACGACGCGTCCCGATATGAACCGAACTGAACGCAGCCGGCGCCAGTTGTACGGCATCGCGGGCCGTGGCGCCCGGGCCGCCGACAGGATGCCACCAGTGTAATCCCCTCTCTCTCTCTAGGGGGCCGTCCGAAAACGAGCAGCATCACTCACTCGGTCACCCGGTCTCCCGGTCACTCAGTCACGCACGCAGTCACTTAGTCATCCTTAGTCACTCCACTCAGGACTCCAGAACACACAAAGTCGCTAACGTTTAGTCACTCAATCACAGTCACTCAGTCACACATTTTTAGTCGTCACTCTAGTCCGTCACTCAGTCACGCATGCACTGACTGAGCCTCAGTCACTTAGTCATACTCCGTCACTCTTCTCAGTCACTCCAGATCGGTCCGTTATACCAGGTGGCTGATTCACGCCGCGCACTTTCGTAGCTACTGTACCGCATGCACGAGTGCGGGCGGGTTTGCCTATGCTCGCTGCCCACGGCTCCTTATAGCCCCGTGCGAGTAGGCGACCCGCCCGCACGGGTGCATGCGGTACAGTATAACTACGAAAGTGCGCGGCGTGAATCAGCCACCTGGTATGATCACTCCGTCACGCACGCACCCGCTCAGCGACTTTAGACAGTCACTCCAGTCACTCGGTCGCACTCACCGGCTCGGATGTCGCCGCCGTCTCGACCGCTGTTGAGGAGACTCAGCTGAGACGATATCCACACGCACTGCTCGGGCATTCCCCGTCGTCGGCTCGGACCATATCCCGAGGAGCCTCGTGCTCCGGCACGGTCCGCGAGGTGCAAGAGCCAGACAGACACGCGGCAAACTTTCGAAACACGACGACGCGAAAACACAGTAAACGGCACACGACGAACGTGGGTGCGCGCGGGGAGCCTGGACGGGGTCCTGGTTGGCGGAAGGGCCTTGCGAGAGGAAAGACGCGGCCGTGGCGCGGTGGCTGCGCGGGGCGCGGGGCTGCGGGGTCCTGCAGGGGCCGTGTGGGCGGGCTGCCGGCTCGCCGCAGACTGAGCGCCATGGGGCCACGCGCCCCGCCGGCCGGCGAGCGCCGCGCTCACCCCCTCTCTCCCTCTCCATCTCTCTCTCTCCCTCTCCCACTCTCTCTCTCTCTGTCCCACCTACCGTGCGGGGTAGGGCAGTGACGGCAGAGCGAGAGAGAGAGAGAGAGAGAGAGGTAGAAAGGGGCAGAGGCGGAAGAGAGGCCAGTTCGAACGCGGCGCCCAGCGTCCCGCGCTTTCAAGGGGTGGCCCCTGGCCCCTGGCGCTCGAACGCGGAACTAGCGAGCGCTCGGCCCCGTGGGGAAAGAGGGTGGGGCAGGGCAGGGTGCGGCGGGGTGGGGTGCAGCGGGGAGGGTAGTAGTAGTAGTACGTAGGAAAATGTAGGAAGCTCTGTCAACGTGTCACAAACAAACCCGCTCGGCACAAGGACACGGGCAGAGGGTGCGAGAACAAGGCTAAATTGCAGCCCGGGCGCAACTGATTGCAGCCAGTTAATTAAACGAACTTCCCCCGCCCGTCCCGTCCCGCCCGGCGCGACCCGCCCGACATGTGTGTGTATGCGCGCGCGCGCGAGCTCGAGCTGCGCGCCGACAGCGACTGTCCCAGTATTCGTTATAACACTGTACACAAACGGCGAACTTGGTCGACGTACGGGCGCAAGCGTGACATCACACGTGTAAACGTAAGAGAGGGGCGAGCTTCACAGCCGCGCAGGTTACAAAGGAACTTTGTACACCCGGAAACACCTTGGATTATTTTTCTAAGCATACTTGGTCCTGATGGCTAACTCACGCCGCGCGCCGCGCACTTTCAGGTCATACTGTACCGCATGCACGGGTGCGGGCGGGCTTGCCTATCCTCGCTGCCCACGGCGCCTTCTGGCTCCGTTCGAGTAGGCGACAGTGCGACGCTTTGGGCCACAGCGAACCTCTCACCTCACTAAAGAAACCCCAAAAAGGTAATCGCCATCTTTTGATATGTTGTTCGCAGCACTTCAAAACGCACAAATAGGTATATGTTGTGTGAACAAAAAAAAAAATTCTTCACACTTACAAATTCTTTTAGCAGTCAGCGACAGCGTAGAATCGATCGTTCCCTGGAGCGTCAGCCCGAATCTCGCCTCTACGGCTCAGTCGGTAGCGCGCCCGCTCGGAGCGCGGGAGATCGGCGGTTCGAATCCCCGTCGGTCTGAAATTTTTCTCAGGCCACCAAATTTCAAATGGACCTCAAACCCGTCATTTCACCTCGCCCCTCTTGTGGTGTTCCGATGTCGTAGTGGTTACCATTGTTGGTGGCACTGCGTCATAGGTGTCAATTAAGTGTCGGCTCTGG